AGGAGCTCTTATGACTTAGAGCTGTTCTGAACTATCCATGTGAGTGTCGATAGCCACTTTGTGGTCTCAGGAGACAGGATAAGTGGGAAGGGCCTTGAACAGTTGTCTTGGCTAGAAGACTTTGTGAGAGAGAAGCAAACAGCTAATATTTTGATTATGTCTTCTCCCACAAGGTTTATTCATTGGAGTTTCCTTAAATAAGGTCTTTTTTATCCCCTCATAGTACACACAGTGATAACACTGCCATTTGTCAGGCACTCTGCTTGATGCTTCCTAAGCCTTTTATCTCCTTCATGCTCCCAGCAACCTCCATGATCTACTAGCTCCAGAGAGGGTGAGAGACTTGCCCTCAGGGAGGGCAACTCCACTCCAGAGAGGGAGTTGTACAGCCAGAGCGGGTCAAAAGTCCTCTACAGCTGTAGATGTCATTGAGCTTCTCACTCCATTCTTCAGTATAAAGATGCTTCGTCTGTATGGATCTCTCTTAAATTCTGTTAGAGAAAATGAGTTTGCCTGAACTGGCAAAAATGTAAATGAAAGGGACGCCTGGGTGGCTCAGTTGGTTAAGCGGCTCAGGTCATAATCCCAGCATCTTGGGTTGGAGTCCCACATCGGCTCCCCGCTCAGTAGGGAGTCTGCTTCTCCCTCTGCCTGCCATTCCGCCCGCCTGTACTCTCTCTGTCTCTCTGACAAATAAATAAATAAAATCTTTTTAAAAACGTAAATGAAAATACTGTGTTCCTAATTTTTCCACCTAGCTCTAAACTCAGCTTGGTAACTAAATACTGGGGGAGGATTTTACTGTAGATTGAAAGTCAGGAATCCGGAGATTTTTTTTTTTTTTTTTTAAAGATTTATTTATTTATTTATTTATTTGACAGGCAGAGAGGCAGGCAGAGAGAGAGAGAAGAGGAAGCAGGCTCCCCGCCGAGCAGAGAGCCCGACGCGGGGCTCGATCCCAGGATCCCGGGATCACGACCTGAGCCAAAGGCCGAGGCTTTAACCCACTGAGCCACCCAGGCGCCCTGAGATTTTTTTTTTTATTGCTTTTCCGTTTTATCCTTGAGTGATATATTCAGATTTTTGTTGTTGTTAATATGCTTCTTTATAAATAATTGGTAAATCCAATGAAGTAGTAGAAGGCTAAGGAAAAGAAGAGAAGTGAACGGTGGAGGTTTTAACAAGAACAGGAGGGTTAGCCTGGAATTAACATATTCACATAGTTTGTTCTAAAACCAAAAATCGAGTGAATTGGTAAATATAAAAATTTTGCTGAGGTTCCACCTGTCACTCATCATTACTAACCCATCCACAAGTTCCATTAATTGCAGTTGGTTTACAAATCAGGAAACTTGATTCCATAAAAAGGCACAGAACAGCTACTTTATAGACCTTGACCTCAATTCTGAGAGACAGTGATGTGGAGCTACATTAGAGAAAACAGTTCTTGGACAGCAGCAAGTGGTTAAAGTTGGCTGTGGAGTCTACAGAAGCTTGAATAAAGCAAAGACAAAAGAGCACAGCTGGTGATCAAACCACTTTTTTCGGATTACAAATGGAAATAGCAAATGGTATTGCTGTGTTGCTGTTTTTGATTTATTCTCACTTCAATACCCATTTTTATTCTGGAAGAAGCTTTTCTTGGATCTTCTTAGATTAAAGCTGTCGAAGAAACCAGACTAACACTAACCAACTGCCACATTACCTCCTGTAAGTAGAATTTCTCTTTTAGAGAGAGAGAATGAGTTAGGAGTGTTTGATTACTATAGAGGATCCTTTATCCAAGTATATAGGGCACATAAATGGAAGTCAAGTAGGAAGAAAAAAGAATATAATTGCTTTTATTTTTATGCTTTAATAATAAGTCATACATATAGATATCTATATATCTATATATATCATTTGAGTTTGGCATCTTCCCTGGAGCAGGCTTTTAGTAAGCCGAAGGGCTTACCAGAATTAGTTTGAGTTTGTGCCTATGGTATATGTTTGCACATTAATCTTCCAGATTTGTACCTTCCTATTCGTATACTATTGAGCAAGCCTTGCCTAGGATTCCATTACAAGAAATCCATTGTCCACTCACAATGAAAGGAAGTAGATTCTATTCCTCCTCTACTTCCTAGTATATTTGAATGTGAAATTTATCCTACAAAGATGACACTTCAAAACAGGTGCATACTTTGAAAGGTGTTCTAAAGATTTATACAAATGAATTATTGGGCCAGTGATTTGTGTGAAGAGATTTGATTACATGTCTTCATTTAGCAGGTGTCTCTGACTGGTAATGAAGTACCTGAACAATTAGGAAACTGTGGGTCTTAAAAACTGTTGATGGGAAGAATATGTGAAAATAAATCAAGGATACTCTAGGGTACAAATCTTAAGTAGTTTGTGGTGCTAAGATCTTGCTTTTTAAACTGACCTTTAGGGCGCCTGGGTGGCTCAGTTGGTTAAGCGACTGCCTTCGGCTCGGGTCGTGATCCTGGAGTCCCGGGATCGAGTCCCACATCGGGCTCCCGGCTCCACGGGGAGTCTGCTTCTCCCTCTGACCTTCTCCTTGCTCATGCTCTCTCTCACTGTCTCTCTCTTCTCTCAAATAAATAAATAAATAAAATGTTTAAACTGACCTTTAGGAGCTCCTAGGTGGCTCAGTCGGTTAAGCATCAGCCTTCGGCTCAGGTCATGATCTCAGAGTCCTGGGGTCAGGGCCCATGTTGGGCTCCCTGCTCAGCAGGGAGTCTGCTTCTCCCTCTACCGCACCTCCCGCTCATGCTCACTCTCTCTATCTCTGTCTCTTTCAAATAAATAAATAAAAACAAACAAACTGACCTATACATGTCTTCTTATGCCCAAAATGAAAAATGATAATTGTTCAGTCCCCCTTTTAGGTTTTAGCCTTGAGGCTCCTTGGGGAAAGACTGTATGTCTGGTTCATCTCTGTATCTCCCTCAGTCTTTTACACCAGAAGACACTGCAAATAATCACTGAATTGATGGCCAGGATTCAGGTTGATAATGTGAAATGAAGTTATTCTTTATGGTTTTCTTTTGCTATAATCACTTTCCAAATCTTATTGGAAGAGAACAAATTGTGACTTCTACTTGAGTGTCCTCATGAGGATGTATTCTGTCTTCCTGGCTGGCAAAAGTCTTTTTATTCTTACTTTGCTGCACTTGCCTAGCTCAAAAACTGTAATCTATCATCACTCAGATACCAGGGATCTCTCCATTCTACCCCAATTCTTTAACTGAAAACTGCTGCCCCCTGACCATTTTTCCCATCATTGAAATTTTATGGGTGCTGTTGTATTGATTATTTTTGTGTGTTGTTTTTTATTCTTTGCTATAAAAACTTTATGGACAAAGAGGCTATTATATATGTCCTTTATGTCCATGGTATTAATAATACCAGATTGTCAAGCTCTGTAATTATGAAGTAATATAGTATCTGCCATGAAAGTTATTTACATTCACAGTTGAACTTTGATTCTCGCTTCTGATGCTTTGCCTTGTCCTTTACTAGAAATGCAAGCCTGTTTCTTGAGTTTGCTTTCATAGAATCATGAGATGGGAGATTGAAGAGGGGGAGATAGATGGCTGAATAATTGTGCTTTTAAGTTATATATGACTCCCTGGATCTATATAGATTTCCTGTCTAAGGTATGCCTCTTCTCCACCTCTTAGTAATGCCATATTACCTTGTTTGTTTCCTTCATCACACGAATCACACCATGAAATTGCTCTGTTTACTTTCTTGTTTTTCTTTCCATGAGTCACCTTGTTTATCTTACTCACAGAATTATTAGCTTTTAACTCAAGAGTTTGGCACATAGTAGGAGCTTAAAATATTTTTTGATGGAATGAGAGGCACACTCAGCTTATGAACATGAATACCTACTTGGAATTTCTTTTTTCTCTCCTTTTTCTTCTTCATCACCTTTTTTTTTTTTATTTTAAGAGTTTTTTTAAGTAGACTCTACACCCAGCATGGAGCCCAACTCAGGGCTTGAACTCACAAATCAAAACCTGAGCTGTAATCAAGAGTCAGAAGCTTAACCAACTGAGCCACCCAGGTACCCCCCACTACTGGGAATTTCTAAAGCCCTCTTAACCTCCACAAACTAGAGTCAAGGCACACATAAAGAGAATCCACCAACACCTGCCTTTCCACCCTCCTCAACTTTCCACTCCCCACCCCCACACCAGCTACAGGCATTTCTGCTGCTTCGTTTTTGTCCCAGATGGACTTTGCAACAAAGCAGTGGTGTGGTAGTAAAGACATAAGGCTGAATATGCAGTTATCTGGACTTAATTTAATAGAGAACATTCAATTTATACCTTGTTTTCAGTGTTCTTAGCTCTAATGCTGAGCTGGGGTTGAAATTGTATCTTCTGAGCACACTGCTTGCCCAGGGCAGTAATAGACCTTTCCTTCAAGTTTAAATTAGCCAAAGGTTGGTTGTCCTGTATGTGAAAATGTATTCTTATTATCTTGATTGAACACAGGCCATCTAGTTAGGTGAATTATTTGAAGCACTTGCTTTTTAGCTCCTGACATTTGCGATTAGAAAGCCTTCGAGCAGTTAAATTTCATTAATGGCATCAATTTATCCTCTATTACAAATTATCTGTCTCCTGCAGCCCAAAGAAACTACTTTTCTTCTCCTTATCTTAGATTTATATTTGAACATTGGCCACATCTGTTAAAGGAACAACTCTGCAGAATAAGGTTTATGTCTCTGAAACCCTAGGTGCAAATCCCTTGTGCCACTGTCTCCGAAGGTAATCCCTGCTGCATGAAATCCCACATAAATCAATAATTATCAGGAATCAAAATTTTAGAGGCACCTGCCTGGCTCAATTGGTAGAACATGTGACTCTTGATCTGGGGGTCATGAGTTCAAGCCCCACGTTGGGCATAGAGCTTACTTATCTTTTTCAAAAAGCATTAAGGTTGTATACTGTGAACTTATTATACATAATTCTTTTTCTTAAAAGAATCTTCTGCTGACTCAACTTTTCCTGGAAACCTGGACCATTCCCACCATAAAGAGATAAGCCACATGGCTCACAACACTACAACAGTACCTTCTCACCATCATCACCCAACCACTTCAGCCTCCCACTCCCACTCCCATGGCGGGGGAATGGGCGACATGATGATGGTGAGTGCCACAGGAGAGGCTGCCCTTTTACACCCACTGGGGTAATAGAAATAATCGAGTTTCAGGACTGGCAGGTTATTATCTTTAAAGGTCAGTTTACCCGTGAGGAAAAGCACAGATAGACTCAAATAAGACAAGTGATTTGCCCAAGATCATGCAGCAGGTTAATTTCAGAGTCCCACCAGAACCAGGATTTCTAGGCCTCTGCTGTATTCCTTCCTTTCAGAATTGACCCTTTTCTGAATTAAGTTCTGGTTTACATGCTTTTTATAGAAAAGATAGTACACTTACCACGATGAGCACTGGAATGTATAGAATTGTCGAATCACTAGATTGTGCACCTGAAAATTACATAACACTCATGTTGACTATACTGGAATGAAAATTAAAAAGAGAGAGAGAAAAGGTTGGATTTGGGGAGGAAGCAAGGGAGAGTACTTGTGGAGCATGTCTGCTGTAGGAATGCTGAGATAAAGGAGAAAGCCTCCTACTTCAGTGAATGTCTCTTATTATCCCGATCTGACCCTTTGAAATGCTCTCAGCTTCTTTATGTGAAATTCTCATGTAGAATCTTCAGTCCTCTCTGACTGACTTGTTATGGTTTACCGGCAGCATATGACCTTCTACTTCGGCTTCAAGAATGTGGAGCTTTTGTTTTCTGGTTTGGTCATCAATACAGCTGGAGGTGAGTAAGCCGCCCTCATCAGGTGGTGTTCAGAGGGGACACTCACATAAGAGACAGTGACAAAGAATCAGGAAACCTGGCACCTCTTCCTGCCGTAAGTACTGAATAGTTATGGTTATGATACGTAATCATCTTCCTTTTACCCACCCAGAAGATAAGGATACACAACACTACAGTAAACCTCTCTTAAATAACATGTATATGTTATGGGGGGCCTGGGTGGCTCAGTCAGTTAAGCATCTAACCCTTGATCTCAACTCGGGTCTTGATCTCAGGGTTGTGAGTTCAAGTCCTGCCTTGGGCTCCATGCTGGGTATGGAACCTACTTAAAAAAATAATAAATAAATAAATAAATAAGAATAACATGTGTGTGTTTTAGAGTTTCTGGAAAATAATTTAGATACCAGATAGGAGTCTTTCATAATCCATTTCCTTTCATCCTTTTTTTGAGTGCTTCTTTATTTGGTAAGTTACTGATCCTGGACATAAGACTTTAGTCAAGTTAAAATGACATAAGAAGCATTTTGGGCAAACAGACCACAAAATAACCCTGGGTGGAAAACTGTTGATCAAGTACAATCCTTCCATTTTACAGAGAAATTAAGACTCAAATACTGAAATGATTAGCCCTAAATCACAGAGCGTTGCTGTGTCAGAGGTTGGACAGGGACCTAGACTTTCTAGATCTGCCCTCTCCAGTGTTCTTTCTAGCATACCATACTGTCTACCTCTTTCCTGATTCTTGGCATGGCTCATCTTACTGTCAGACCTACTTTTGGGATAACTGATACCCATTTTTGTGTGTCTGTAATGATGAGTGAGCATGCCTTAAGTTCAAATTGCACAAGCTCCATTGTCAGTTGGATTGTTTTAAGGATCAGGTCTACTTTGGAGCCACAAAACCAATTTGGGGAAAGAGGGGGGCATATAGTTCATGTCGTGTGTTAAATCAGCAGTTTGCATGTATTTGTAGGATTACCAACACTTCACAGTGTGAAAGACTTAGAACTGAAATGTCTGAAGGCACCTGAGTGGTGCAGTCAGTTAAGCATCCAACTCTTGATTTTGGCTCAGATCGTGATCTCAGAGTTCTAGGATTGAGCACTGTTGGGCTTTGCGCTCAGCATGGAGTCGGCTTGAAGATTCTCTCTCCTTCCCCCAGCTACTCCCCACTCCTGCTCATGCTCTTTCTCTCTCTCAAATAAAAATAAATAAATCTTTAAAAAAAAAAAAAGAACTGAAATATCTGTTCAAGAAGTAGTACTTTAGGGGCACCTGGGTGGCTCAGTGGGTTAAGCCTCTGCCTTCAGCTCAGGTCATGATCTCAGGGTCCTGGGATCGAGCCCCACATCAGGCTCTCTGCTCACAGGGAGTGTGCTTCCCCCTCTGTTTCTCTCTGCCTGCCTCTCTGCCTATCTGTGATCTCTGTCTGTCAAATAAATAAATAAAATCTTAAAAAAAAAAAAAAAAAGAAATAGTACTTTATTTTTTTTTATTTTATTTTAATTCTAGTTAGCTAACAGTGTTGTATTGGTTTCAGGTGTACAGTGTAGTGATTTAACAATTCCATACGTTACCCAGTGCTCATCACAAGTGACCTCCTTAATCCCATCACCTATTTCACCCACACACCTCCAGCCCCCAACCATCCGTGTGTTCTCTATAATTGTTTCCTGATTTTTCTCTCCCTTTTTTTTTCCCCCTTTGTTCAAGGAAATAGTCAACACTTTAAAGTGATGTTTTATTCCCCTTTTGCATATTCTACATTGTGTCATAACAAGCCAATTTATGACACCAGGTAGCCAGACCTGAAGGTGATTATTGTTCAGATGATTTTTTGTGTTATAATCAGAAAATGAATATGTTCTCCAGTGGAGACAATGGTTTTCACTAGCACCATCTTCACTCTTCTGTCTGTCTCTCTGTCTGTCTGTGCAAGTAGAAATGTAGCAATATAATGTATTCGGAAATTGAGAGTAGCCCTCTTCTGTGTTGTCTCTCTAGCGTGGACAGCAAACCGACTAGTGACTTCGCATATATGACCATACACCATCTTTTCCTTCCCCACTTAGAAATGGCTGGAGCTTTCGTGGCAGTGTTTTTACTAGCCATGTTCTATGAAGGACTCAAGATCGCCCGAGAGAGCCTGCTGCGCAAGTCACAAGTCAGCATCCGCTATAATTCCATGCCCGTCCCAGGACCAAATGGAACCATCCTCATGGAGACACACAAAACTGTTGGGTAAGAAGACTGAACAGATCCAGATGGAAGTTCTGGAGGGCTGGATGAGTTAAGCACCAAAGCAGCTGTTTATTGGTAATAGCCCTCTTGTTGAGTTAGTAGTGATTCTGCATGATCTTGGTGAAAACCATCTCTGGAGGCTTGGGTTGTGAATCCTAAGCATGCCGAAGAAGGAATGATAGGAACCCTCCTGAGCTCGAACATTTGTTCTGAATTGTAAGCTTGGTCACTGTGGAAGAAGATAAGGAGTTTATATTTTAAAATATTTGCCCAAATTGAAAAAGGAAAAAAAAATTTATCAAAATAATAATACGCACATAAAAGAAATTCAGGTCAGGGTATAGAAGAATGGCAGAATCCAGTTGGTTCTTTTCTATAAAAAATTGCATCCCCCAGCTCTATTTTCATTTTGTTTACAGTATAAGATGTACAGATGTCTGTATTCTGTCAATGAAAGCATTTGGATGACTGCTAGTTTTCCAAACTATTGGAATCGTTTGGAAAATTAGATTGGCAGATGCCTTTTGGGATTTTTTTAAAAAATTAACATATAATGTATTATTTGCTTCAGGGGTACAGGTCTGTGAATCATCAGTCTTACAAAATTCACAGCACTCACCATAGCACATACCCTGCCCAATGTCCATCACCCAGCCACCCACTTTTTGGGATTCTTGAGTTTTAATAGAAGTATAGGTCTTAAACTGAATTGTAGTTCAAGGAATCCTATGGACCAGTGTGCTGCTTTCAAGTAACCACAGTGTTATTTATTCCCCTTGTAACTCATGAGCTTCTTGAGGCCCAAACACATGACTTACTGGAGGTGACAGAACTAGCGAGCGGCGAGGGGCTAGCCAAGCTTCCTGACCCCTGGTTAAGTACTTTGTTTTGTACCCCCCAGCCCTCAGTTCTCTTTCCATTCTTTAGAATATGAATGTTGCCAAGGTGGAAGTCCTGAACATGTTCAAATAAGTAGGGGAGGGTTTAGGGCTTTCCTTTTAGAAGCCAAGGAAGAGGTAAGTTAGGAGATTAGTCCTCCTTCCTCTCCTCTCCTCTCCTCCCACAAGGGGTTCCTTCTGCTGATATTGAAGCATATCTGGCCAATACTTATTATCCAGGCAGCCCCATCATGTTTCATTTCCAGGGACCGTCAATAACATACGTAACACACAAGTAGCCATGAGTTGCCGGGATGGCTGTGAAGGAGTCCGGTTCAAGCTGAGCTCCTGACCACAGCTGCTCCCCCTTTCTCCCGATCTGCAGAGCTGCCGGAGCACTCCTAAGGGTCCCTGATGGTTGTGTCCCTGTTTACTCTCCAGGCAACAGATGCTGAGCTTTCCTCACCTCCTGCAAACAGTGCTGCATATCATCCAAGTGGTCATCAGCTACTTCCTCATGCTCATCTTCATGACCTACAACGGCTACCTCTGCATTGCGGTAGCAGCCGGGGCCGGCACTGGGTACTTCCTCTTCAGCTGGAAGAAGGCAGTGGTCGTGGACATCACAGAGCATTGCCATTAACGTTAAACTCCATGGTGCGGCCTTATCGATTGCAGTGGGAAGCAGTTCAAGACTGAAAGACATGATTCCTACTCGTCTTCCCTTCTCGCTCCTTATCTCCTTACACACACACACACACACACACACACACACACACACACACAGCCCTTCTCAACAGAGGTTTAGCCTACAGTCTCTGAGCTAAAGTGATAATCTCCCTGTTTTTTTCCTAATGAGCTGAGATTCCCTCAGGAGATGCCCTCCCTCCCCCATCATCCTAGATCCAAATTATATGTTCTTGTCCAAACCAGGTAGCTTTCTGTTCAGTGACTTGATCACCTGCTTCCTTTTGAGTCTCCTGTTTTATTTGGAGAATAGACAGAATGTGAATTTGGTGGGTTTTTTCCTGGGCCAGTGATGGAGAGAGATTCACTTCAGCTAGGATTGATGGCAACTGAGGGAAATTCTTGTCCCACTAAACCCAGAACCCAAACTTAACATTGAAAAGTGAGTCCCAGTCTTTGTATGCAAGGAGTATGAAGTACATTGTGCCTTTTGGTGTGATGTGTGGTACTGAAATCTTGGTAATTTGCAGAAGGGTCGTTTGAGACTAAATATGGGCCTGGAGCTTGCAAAAGTGTGTGTATATTCTTGGGTGGCTGACTCATCAGCTTGTGTTCCTACTTAACATTTTGATCAGAATGAACTTGTCAATCAAAAAAAGAAATGATGACAATCAATTTGAGAAAAATAGAAATAGATATTTAAAAAATAAAACCATTGATATTTTACTTTTGGTACCTTGGATTATCGCAGCTGAATGAAACAAAAGAGTGTGAATTGTTTTCTTTTGTTACTGTCTTCACATGTTGGCCTCTAAACCAGTGGTTTTTAAACCTTAGCCTGCATCAGAATCACATGGAGGGCTTGTTAAAACAAGTGTTAAAACACTAGTTTCTGGGCCTCAACCCGGAGCCCCAAAATTGGCATTTCTAACAAGTTCCCAGGTGATGTTCCTGCTGATGGCTGGGGGACCACACTTTGAGAATCTCTGCTTTAAACTAAAGAAGTGTCACCAGGTGAGGTGAGCTACTTGGTACTGGGCACAGGAATTTGAGTTGACGATTGGTAGGTGGTATGTCTAAGCTTCACTCGTGTATTAAATACCAGCACTCGTGCTGGTCAATACTTAATCATTCCACAAAAGTATTCAGCTCCAGGTTTGTGTACGTGTGCCCGGGGCCTGTGCCCAAAGTAACTTTTACCAGTATGTATGAAATCACTAGTCTTTAAAGGTCTGTGGTTTCTTGGAAGTAGCTGGAAGATTGAGGAAGGCCTTTGATCTGCAGTATAAAATCAGCCAGTCATGGGTCAGAAGGGCAGAAGCCCAGCCCTCCCTTTGGAAAGGTATAGGGTATGGTCTGCTGATGACCAGATTTTCCTCAGGGCCCAGCATCCATGTCCATACCAAGCAGATCCTCGTCTTCTCTGTGACTGTCTTTGTTACTCTTGGGGGTTTCGATAGATCACATGTGGCCAAACCTCTTTTTCTCAATGAAGAACCATACTGGATTTTTATTCTGTTCTGTTGTGAGTTTACACTACAGTCTGGTCCCCAGTCCAGACAACCTGTGTGAAGTGACTCTTCCCGTGTTAGTCTGTTAATCCTGCCCTCCTTGGTGCTAGACTCCAATCGTGCCTCAGGGCAGAGGACACAACACACAACTATTCTTTTGGCCTCTGTTGTGGTTTTGGAGTTTGTACGTTCTCTGTGGGTGCCAGTTAAATATTGGAGAGCAAGGAATGTGTACTTCCGTGGCTTTAAACCAAGAGAAGGTTACGAGCTTACCCAGATCAGGGGTAAAATCTGAGAACCAACATTTAGAGTTTTGTGCTTTTCTCTCATTCCAACCCCTCGTGGGGCTGCTACTTCGCATGAGCGCGGTGCATGACGGGTAGTGACAGAGTCCAACATGAAGGTGTAAAGTCCCAGTTATTATCTCAGAAGCCAAGGAATAAAAAAACGTGAAATAAAAGAAGACTCGATGGAATAGTGACCCTGGTGCTTGCTCTCTAGAAATCTTGGCCTGAGCTGCTATAAAACACCCTTTCAGAAACTGGACCTTATCAGTAAGGTAAGAAAAATCAAGGCCAGTTAAGACAAAATGCTGTGAATTTGAAACTCAATGGAGAAACATCAGTCTGGGATAGGTTTTCAGTGTTTATGACGGAGTGTCACAAAAAACCTGAATTCCAGCAGTTCTTAGATTACATTGCCAAAGGACGAAGTTATGAAGGAGAAAAAATTTAAAGCTTAAATTCTATCTTTCTTGAGCTCTTGGATTGTGATAATGATCTCATTGACTTTCATTTCTGTATCCCTGTTGATTTGGAATTTAGTGCCTGACTTCTTTGTTCTTTTGGATCCAAAAGAACCAAGATCCAAAAGATCCAAAATCTTTTCCTCCTTCGTTGTTCACATGTCTTAGAAGCCTGTATCCCCATTTCTTTGGCCCTTTATTCTTTCCTTTCCCTTTCTTTCAGTTTAATCCCATGTGTCTAGTTTATGAAATCTCCCTAGCCCTCCTGAGGCGGTGGAGATAGATACCAACCAGAAGTTGTGAAACTTAGTAGAGACCTGACGTACCCTTCAGGGAGAAATTGTCCTGTTGGAATTGCTAGAAGGCTGCTAAAGGGCTACCTACTGGTTCAATCCGCAGAGTCACAGAATCTTAACTGCTATCTCCAGTCTATGTTAGAGGAACACTCAGCCCCTCATTGCCCACAAATGGGGAATCCTCTGTGTCCACCAGGGAATTCGAAATTAAGGTTTCTTCACTACTTCTATGGTAGGGCTGTCTGGAATTCTATTTCAGACTGTGAGGCTCTGGGCTTGGGTTCTAGCCACAAGGGGTTTCTTATAAGGAGCTGGAAGGGGAGGGGGCAGGGGTTACACGTTCATGTCATTTCATTTTGATCCTGCTCTCTCCAGCTGCTTCTTTCAGAAGATACATCTAAAGATACACAGTCTGCATTTGATATAATGCCTTAATCACTGAGTCTACAATTCATGTTGACCATTTTAGATTGTAAGCTCCTGGAGAGCAGTATTGCTGTAGTAGGAATATTTTAACAGTGTCATATGTAACAGAACAAAATAAATATTTTGATTTTGTGATTCTATGCATGTCTTTCTACCTAGTGATAGCAGAATAAGTGGTCTCTTCATTGGCCATTACCATCATTTTTTTAAAAAAGATCTTATTTATTTATTTGATGGAGAGATACAGTGAGCAAGAGAGAGAACACAAGCAGGGGGAGCAGCAGAGGAAGAGGGAGAAGCAGGCTTTCTGCTGAGCAGGAAGCCCGATGTAGGGCTCGATCCCATGAAGGCAGATGCTTAATGATTGAGCCAACCAGGCACCCCAACCATCAATTTTTAAGATGTCAGTCTTTTAAGTGGCAAGATCCCTTTATGTTTTCATCTCACTCTCCTCTTACTCTACTTAAAATGACAAGCTTGGGGCACCTGGGTGGCTCAGTTGGTTGAGTGTCTGACTTTTAGTTTCAGCTCAGGTCATGATCTGGGGGGTCATGGATCAAACCCAGGTGTGGGGCTCTGTGTTCAGTGGGGAGTCTACTTGAAGATGTCTCTCCCTCTCCCTCTGCTCACTTTTTCTCTTTCAAATAAATAAATCTTTAAAAAATATAAAAATTAAAATGATAAGCAGAAAATTCCTGCCCACAGGTCCTATTCCCATGCTTTAATAAAACCACCTTTTTGCACCAAAAATAAATGAATAAATAAAAATGATATGCTAGGGGGCCCTGGGTGGCTCAGTCTAAGTACCTGCCTTCGGCTCAGGTCATGATTCTGGATTGAGCCCCGTATCTGGCTACCTGCTCAGCAGAGAGCCTGCTTCTCCCTCTCCCTCTGCTGTCCCCCGCCCCACTTGTTCTTTCTGTCAAATAAATAAAAACTTAAAAAAAAAAAAGACAAATTTTTTTTTTAAATGTTAAGTATTGCCAGATCTACATGACCTTTCGCACAGGAGTCAAGGGTCTTCATGAAGCGGCAAATCTCTCAGTATACCATGGATTCCTGAATTTACAAGCTAACCCATCATATCATATAATCCCTTCGGTGGTTATGCTGTCAGGAAAGAGGCCCTGAATTGGGCCTCTAAGGATCTCCACTGCCAAGCCTCAAGATGAGCATTGGCCCTGTCTGTCCCTTCAGTAATGCCAGAATGCTGGCGTTATTTGCCCCTCCTGCTGGCCCCCAGAAGGCATCTTACATCCAGTACCATTCCTATTCTCCTCCATAGTGTAGTATGATGAGCAAGGACTTTGGAGTCAAACATGTCCGGGTTCGAATTCTGGCTCCCCCACTTATCAGAAGTGTAACCTTGGGCAAGTGATTTTAATAATCCCTAAACCTTAGTGTTCTCATTTATAAAAATGCAATTATAGCACCATTTTCAACTTAGGAGCAATATATATAAAGCACCTAGCACTTAACAGGCAACCAAACCATAGTAACTTTTTGATTATTTTTACTCCAGCTTTCAGGAAACTAAAGGTAAGCTCTTCTGGGTGAGTTCAATACCTCTTCACAAGCACTTGACGATCTTCTATACATGCACCCTATGACCTGAGTAATAAGAGAACCCATGCACGTAATTTCAGTTGTGTCTGAAAGGATTTATAGCTGTCATAGGTAGTAGATAAGGGCAACAAATAAGCCCTTATCTAATCTGGCGAATGTCTCATTCTTTATTGTTAAAATAGTAAGATAAAATTTCCTGAGAACTGAAACAGCATCCTCTCCCTCCACCTCTGTGAACCCCACTTTCTAGACCCAGCCGGGGGGGTGGGGGGGAGAGACTGGGAAAGCAGTGTAGCAATAAAGTTTAGAAATTTGGGTTCAGAGATCAGTATGCTTGGGTTCAAGTCTCACTGAGCTCTATCCCTTAATTAGCTGAGCATCTAGCACTCTCCTCATAGGAGTTAAAGATTGAGATAGTCAGCAGACTGCACTCAGTGTGGTGCCTCCATACAGAGCCCTCTGAGTGTTGGCCAAGTGAAAGTCAGGAGGCACAATGTTCTCATGCTTCTGTGCCTGCCTATGTGCTGGGAAGCCAGGGAGAGCTTAAGGCAGAGGCTTGTTTCTCCCGGGTTTTTTTTTTTTTTGCCCTTCCATACTGGCCTTTGTGGGCTTCAAGGCGATATTACTCAGTTTTCCTATCTAGAGCCTGACTTGATGTGTCTTCAAGACTGTAAAATAACAAAATTGAAGGTCCTTGATCAGACTGGAAGAATAAAGATTTTGTAAGAATAGTTGGAGGAAGAAGAGAAACTATATATTCTCCTTTCCCTGCCTCTCTCACATTTTTTTTTTTTTTAAGGATTTTATCCATCTTCAAAGAGAGAGGAAGAGAGCACATGAGCACAGAGAGGGGCAGAGGGAGGAGAAGAAGACTCCCCAGGACTCCGAGATCATGACCTACCTGAAGTCAGACACTTAACCGACTGAGCCATCCAGGCACCTCTCCTCCACATTCTGAATACCCAGCCTTAACCTATCCCTAGAAAGATGGGATAAAATCTTGCTAAGGGTCTCTTTAGAACTGATGATTCTAGAGGTTCCTTCTACCACAGCTGGCAGTTCCCTGTAGTTGAATTAAATGGTAAAAACAACAGAACATGATTTTTTTTTAACTTTATTTACTTTTTTTTAGTAATCTCTACACCCAAAGTGGGCTTTGCAGTCATGACCCCGAGAACACGAGTCTCATGCTCCTCCAACTGAGTGAGCCCGGTGCCCTGGACTTGATTCTAAATCATCCTCTCGATTGGCTCCTCAGTGGGAAAAATTTTTAGGCCAGTTGGAAAAGGAAGGAAAACTGGAATGATGGTAATTCCTTTTAGGAGCATTCCTATTATTGTGTCCCCCCACTGTCCGTCCCCTCCCCCGAAATTACACTCAGACTAGCTACAAAGCCATTCTGTAAACAGATTCTGGAAACCACAGCTTGATTACATTTACACAAAATCACTAGAATCTAATCTCTACAAGGGCAGGTATCTTTGATTTTGTTCAGTAATGTTACTAAGTGCCTAGAATAGTATCTGGCATATAACAGGCACTCAATAAATACTTGCTGAACAGATAAGCTGGAAGAAAGTTAGTGACAGGGATCAAATGCAAGTGTTCGGTGTTTCAAGTCTCTCAATAAAGGTGGGAAGAGTGATGTTACCTCTCATAGCAATTACCTTTTAAAGTCTGAAGGTTAACAGTGCTAGGATTATGCTTCATTAAGGGCATTGCACACTTTTCCAAAAATATATTTATTTTAAAAAACAAAAATGAGACAAGTTTTATAGAGTCAGATTTTCCAGAGACAAACTAGAGTTTCAATTTCCACTTCGAGCAAAAGTTAAGCATCAGTAATCTCATGCAGAAGTATTTCTCTGCAGGAGGTAAAATATTCTACTTGACTGCAAGCACTCAGTTCTCTAAATCTTGTTTGTACTTCTGCCATCATTCTACTCCATTCCAGGGCTCTGGCATGCAAAATAATCCGCCTCTAAAATTCAAAACTTCCAAATTGAGATGAACGATTGTTGGGTTTGGGTTGGGGTTTATAACCAATTCGATCATTAATCATTTGTTCCCTGCTCTTGGGGTCACTGCTGAGCCCAATGGCGCCTTCTCCATCACTGATTCCTACGACGTCCACTTCTTCCTTTTGTTTCTTACGGGTCTGGAGGTATAAAAATCTTAAGATTAAGGCAAAATTCTCTCCATTAGCAAACCTTTATTTGGCACCTGCCAGGCACTAGGCATAGGGTGAAGGCTAGCGTTAAGGCCTACAGAACAATAAGGTGAAATCCTAGGTTTAAATGGATAATAAGCGGACAAGCAGGGATACAGGGACGTAGTGAGAAAAGATAAAACCCCTACCCTCCCGGATGTCACAGTCTAACAGGGAAATAAGTAAATAGACAATGACAACATAGGGTGATCATTGGTATGACAGAGGAACGTCCATACTGTGAGAAGATACATAGAAGAGGTAAAGAATTGGGTGTGTCATGGTGGAGCTTAGAGCAGGGAACTGCAATTAGAAAAACAAATAATATAGGAGAAGATGGATGTTAGCTGAAGCTCCTGTGGTCATCATTTCACAATATATGTAAATTACACCATCATGCACTACGCCTTAAACTTACACAGTGGCGTATATCAGTTATTTCACAATAAAACTAGAAAAAAAAAGATAAATAAGTTGGCAGACGGGGGAGAGAAGGGTGGTTTTTTTTTTTTTTTTTTAAGATTTTATTTTTAAGTAATCTCTACACCCAACAGGGCACTTGAACCTACAACCCTGAGATCAAGAGTTGGATGCTCTACCGAATGCACCAGCCAGGCACCCAGGAAAGGGTGTTTCAGTAAAGGTATTACTCAAGGGAATAGATGGAAAGATTAAGTGACTGGTAAAGCAATAACCACCAGAAATTAAGAGCGTCATTGACACCATGAAATTAAATGTAACACAGGAATACAAGATTTTGTGCTGTCTTATCAAAACACCTGAATTTTGAGGTTTTTGTTTTGTTTTCAGGTAAAAAGTTTGGCTCTTGGGGCGCCTGGGTGGCACAGTCAGTTGAGTATCTGACTCAATTTCAGCTCAGGTCATGATCTCGGGGTCGTGAGATCCCGCCCTGCATGGGACTCTAGGAGCTCAGACTTTGGGCTGATTCTTTCTCCTTCCTTCTGCTCTTCCCCCTGCTCACATACTCTCTCACAGATTAATTAATTAAATCTTAAAAAAAAAAAAAAGGGTTTGGCTCTTAAGTCACAAGTGATAGCAGAATTCACCAAGTCAGTATCTGAGTTTGATCTTTTTTTTTTTTAAGATCTTGTTTTTAAGTCATCTCTACACCCAACTTGGGGCTTGAACTCACAACCTCAATATCAAGAGTTTGCACAATCCACCAACTGAGCCAGCCAGGTAGCCCTCAGTTTGATCATTTTCAAGGACAGATTAATCCTTATCCCATAACCACTATGACCTGACTAAAAAGAGGGTATTACATAATAATGTTCTCTGAGAAAGTGAACAAATATTTTATCTAGCGTTCCTTAGAAGAATGGCTTGACTCCTCTAACCACTGGAATCGCCCCCATTCTTCAGAACTTACTAATGAACTCAGCATTAAATGCCAATCATAGTAGCATACTAAGTCAAGTATTACTTTATATATGTGTGTGTATAAAATGACCTTTCTGAGTTACTCTCTAGTGAGTCTGTCTACACTACCAGTAAGTAACATTACAGATAGCTCAGTGAAAACAGGTTAAAAGGCAAAGGATATTATCATTTTATAAACCATGAGAAACTGAGAACGTCCAAATGGTATGAAATCATTTAAAAGGCTTCCCACCGTGAACAAGTGATGACTGTTTCAGAATCCAGTCATCAAAATCTAATTAAACTAATTTCAGTAACAAATGAAATACCAGTTTCTATCGGTGTAATTTCATTTTAGTCATGGGCAAATCTATCCCTAAGTTGCTCTAAAACAGGTCGGGGCACCTGGGTGGCTCAGTGGGTTAAGTCTCTCCCATCGGCTTGGGCATGATCCCAGGGTCCTGGGATCGAGCCCCACATCAGGCTCTCTGCTCAGCGGGGATTCTGCTTCCCCCTCTCTCTCTGCCTGCCTCTCTGCCTACTTGTGATCTCTGTGTCAAATGAATAAATAAAATCTTAAAAAAAAAAAAAACAGGTCAAACGCACTAGATAATTGCCTTTAGTAGACAGACTAACTCAAAAGTGAGCTGATTCTACAAAATCAAAGTTCAGCATTCCAACACTTTATGAGACTCATTACAGCTAAAGGTTAAATTGTAGTGAAAGGACACTGCAGGGGAAGGCAACCAAGGGTGCAGACACACCAAGATTTAAGTTGAAGATAACCTGACAGTGGAAGATAACGTAAAGATGAAGTTAAGCTAAAGATAAAGTTAGGCCACAAACGACCTTATATGCCATCCTAAGGTATCTAGACTTTATTCTCAGAGCCACTGAAGAGTTTAAGTCTTATTAATGGACATCATTTAATACTATGGGATAAGCTACACTTAAAAATACACATTGAGGGGCACCTGGGTGGTTCAGTCATTAAGCATCTGCCTTCAGCTCAGGTTCGAGCCCCACATCAGGCTCTCTGCTCGGCAAGAAGCCTGCTTCTCCCTCTCCTTCTCCCACTCCCCCTGTTTGTCTTCCTTTTCTCATGGTCTGTCAAATAAATCTTTTTAAAAAAAAATGAAAACAAATACATATTAATGGGGCGCCTGGGTGGCTCAGTGGGTTAAGCCTCTGCCTTTAGCTCAGGTCATGATCTCAGGGTCCTGGGATGGAGCCCCACATTGGGCTCTGCACTCATCAGGGAGTCTGATTCTCTCCCTTCCTCTCCCTCTGCCCTACCCCCCCACTTATACTCTTTCTGTATCCCTCTCAAATAAATAAATAAATAAATAAATAAATCTTTTAAAGAAGAATACATATTGAGCTTCTACCACGATGCAGGGACGAGCTCCTTCCCCAATGCTGGGATTCAACAGTGAAGATGACGAACGTGATTTCTACAATCAGGTTTCCTAATGTAAATGCTACAATAAACAAATCATTATAAATTATAATAAATACTATAAAAATAAAAGGATAAAGTGCTTTGGGTCACCTGGCTAGCTCAGTTGGTAGAGCATGTGACTCTTGAGCTTGGAGTTGTGAGTTTAAACCCCACGTTGGACATACATATTACTTAAAAAAAAAAAATACAATAAAAATAAAGTGCTTTGTGGGGCACCTGGGTGGCTCAGTGGGTTAAAGCCTCTGCCTTCGGCTCAGGTCATGGTCCTAGTGTCCTGGGATCGAGCCCCACATCGGGCTCTGTACTCTGTAGGGAGCCTGCTTCCACCTCTCTCTATCTGTCTGCTTCTCTGCCTACTTGTGATCTCTGTCTGTCAAATAAATAAATAAAAAAAAAAAATCTTTAAAAAAAAAAAAAAATAAAGTGCTTTGAGAAACCCTAAGGAGGAACAGCATGGATGGGAATGACACCCCTAATTTGAATAGGGTCAGAAGCAGCCTCTTAGACTGAAGAAATGATATTTAAACAGACGTGAAAACAGGAAGAGGAAAGTAACATGTACAAAGGCCAAGAGTGATGAACAGCTTGGTGTGTTCAAGGAAATAAAAGAAAGCCAACGTGCTTGGGGTACAGAGGCCAAGGCAAAGAATGGCAGGAGTTGAAACCTGAGGAGCCAGAACATACAAAATTTTGTAGGCCACAATAAGCAGTTGAAATTTTATTCTAAGTGCAGGAAACCACTGAGTTTTAAGCAGGGGAATGACATGATCTGAAAATTTGTAAGGCTTTTTCTAAAAACCAGATGTAGAATGGATTAACAAGATAAAAATGGAAGCAGGAAGACCACTGAGAATGCAACTGAAATTTCAGAGAGAGAGGTGACGGTTACTTGCACTAAGATAGTAACCGGGGAGATACATGGGGTGAATCCAAACGGTAAGGAAAAGGAAGAACTCGAGAGTGACTCCTAGGTTTCTGGCTCAAGCAGCTGCAGAGATACTGACACAGGGAACACCTGAAACTAGCTTGAAGAAATCAGGAGGTCTTTTATTTTAACATGTTAAGTGCAGGAGACTGAGTAGTGACTTCCAAAGCTCTCAGGACCTAATTCCTGAACCTCTGAACATTGCCTTATATGGAAAAGGATCTTTGCAGATGGGATAAGGATCTTGAGATGGAGACATTAGCCAGGATTATGTGGGTGGGCCCTAAATGCCATTCCATGTATCCTTGTAAAAGAAGACAATGGGAGATTTCATGGACACAACAGGAGAAAGCAATGTGATCCGGGATGCAGAGATTGGAAAGATGTGGCCACAAGTCCAGGAATGCCAGTGGCCACCAGAAGCGGAAAGAGTCAAGGAACAGATTCTTCTCTACAGTCTCTGGAGGGCACGTGGTCCTGCTGACACCTTGATTTGGGACCAGTGATACTGATTTCAGATTTCTGACCTACAGAATGGTAAAGGAATAAATTTCTCTTGTTTTAAACCACCAAGTTTGTGGTAATTTGTTACGGCAAGCCACAGGAAACTGACACATTAAGTGTGAAATGCCTGTCCAGCAACCACATAGAGGTTTCAATAAGGTGTTGGTAAAAGGGTCTGGATTTCAAAAGTTAAAGTTATTGTTTTAAATATCCTTAAGGATTTGAAAGTTGTACTCTTACCTCCAGGTCCTTTCGAATGCTCTCAAACTCCTCAATGTCATCAAGCTTCAGCTCCAGGCGGGTTGGTTTTCGCCGTAGCATACTGAGATCAACACTAAAGGCCAGACCCAGAGAACTATCAGCTGTTAGAAATAGCAGAAGAGGAAAAACTGGAGGTGATAAAGCTTGGCTACAAATACAAGATCAATTTGTCAGCATGCATGCTAAAGGAATGGTGATACAAAAGACTCATTTGGGTTCACACATAGACTTCTAAGTCATTAGATGAGTGATTATTACATCATGGAGATCCATAACTCTGCAATTCAAAAAAAAAAAAAAAGTCTTCAAGAAAAAAAAAGAGCAAGCTACCTATAAAAAAGAGAATTCTAGGCAACAATCAATTCAATTTTATATTTCAATCACATCCAAAAAATTATTCTAGCTCAGAGAATAAAGTTAAAATAACACATCTTAATTCAGTATAATTACTGGGAGAGTACATACACCAATAAATTAGATCAACTCTGCATGAGAACTGTGACAGATCTGTGGTCACTCCTGAATACTTAAAATCAGCTTACTAAATCTCATGAAAACTCCCTATAACTCACCAATTCACAGAGTTATCCTCAGGGTCTAAACAGGTCCCAAATGGAAAGGTCATTCATTAAACAAACACTTCTTGTGCTCCTGCTCCAGAGTTAAAAGACATAGTCACAGCCTGTGGGGAAAACAAACATGTAAACAGAAAATTGCATCACACTTTAATAAGGACTCAGATGGAGGACAATGCAATGGCATCACACAGGCACCCAATCCAGTCTGGGTGGTGTGTGGGGTAGACAGGGACATGGAAGACTTCCTGGAGGAGATCTCTTAGCTGACTTGTGAAGGGCAGGCAGAGAAAAGCAAGTAAGAGAGAGAGAACAAATAGACAAAGAGGCTCAAAAGAACAATCCTGGGACGCCTGGGTGGCTCAGTTGGTTGGACGACTACCTTGGGCTCAGGTCATGATCCCGGAGTCCCGGGATCGAGTCCCGCATCGGGCTCCCGGCTCCGCGGGGAGTCTGCTTCTCTCTCTGACCTTCCCCTCGCTCGTGCTCTCTCTCACTGTCTCTCTCTCAAATAAATAAATAAAATCTTAAAAAAAAAAAAAATCCTAAGGCTGAAAGCCAAAGATAATGCTTATGCTAACAAGAACCAGTTTTTTTTAAAGATGAAACTCACCAAGTGAGTTTAACACCTAGTAATGGCATCATCTTTATATTCTCCTTAACACCCAGCAGAGTACATGTGTTGGTGAATAAACTGAGACACCCAAATAAAGTGAAATGAACTTTTCTTGAGCACTGTGCTACACTTTTCCATTCCTAGTCTTTACATTTTTATTTGAACACAGGGACCCTGGCAAAATTACCTCTATTTTATAAATGAAGTTGAAGCTCTTCAGTTATAAATGTCAGCCTCCTATAAAACTTACACACAGGTCTGTCTAGGTGGTGAGGATTTAATGAGAATGATGTAAATGAAAGCTCCTTTAAAGTACGTACAGCTATAGGGGTGCCAGGCTGGCTCAGTCAATAGTGCATCAGACTCCTGATCTCAGGGTCATGAGTTCAAGCCTCACACTGGGCATGGAGCCTACTTAGAAAAAAAAAAGGGGGGGGGGGGGGGGGGGGGGGGGGGGGGGGGTGCCTGGGTGGCTCAATTGGTTGGGTACCTGCCTTTGGCTCAGGTCATGATCCCCAAGTCGTGGGATCCAGTCCCCTCCCCTGGCTCGTGGGCACATACGCACACCCTCTTTTATTTAAATAAATAAAAAAATATTTTTTTAAAAGTATGTATGGGTATAAATTATTATTAGATCTTTCTAGGACGTAGCTAGAGACTACAAAATATACAAAAGAAGAAATGTATCCTTCCATGAAGCTTGGAACAGAACAGGTGATGTTCTCAACACTGGCACATTACATTTCATATTGTTTTATATAGTTTCAGATAGTATCTTAGGGAACCTGGCTGGCTCAGTCGGTGGAGCATGGGACTCTTCATTTCCAGGTTGTGAGTTTGAGCCCAAGGTTGGGTGTAGAATTACTTAAAAATAAAATCTTAAAAAAAACACAAAACTAAAATAAATAAATCAGAAACGTTCTTAAATCCAATGTAAACAAATGGTAGAGGAAGCCAAAATTCCAAGGGAGAGTAAGGAAGGAAAGAATATGTAAAAGAGAAAAGCTCTGCTGCACATTTTCTTACATTTTCGTCCCTTTTCTGCAAACTGTGTAAAGCTCGCCACTGGGACGTAGTACAGAGTAAAGGGCAAACGTGCTCGCTCAAGAGGCGAAAGGGCAGAGGACAGATTCTAATCCCACATGCCACTGATCTTGGACACTCAGTTTCATCTTTCATTAGACTTTAGTCTCCTCCTGTTCTGTACTCTGTCGTATAGACTGAACGAGGTAAGGCACTGTAAGTTCCTGGAACATAATCTGGCATTTAATAAACGCCCAATAAATAATAGCTATTATTATCGTAACTGTCCTTGCAGAGGTTTGGGGAGGGGGCTCTGCCCAGCTCGAGGAACACCAATATTTTAAGCGTCTCCACCCCCGACACGAGGGCAAAGCCCTGGTCTTGTTCATCTCCGCAGCCCCAGCCCCCAGCGGAACATAGGGCCACGCAGAGTTGGGGGTGTGCCCTTTACCTGACGCCCTCACAGGCATCCTCTCCCTCTGAGTCAGATAAAAAGACCGGGTTGAAGACAGACAACAGCAGGCCGTGGCTCCTCCCCGGATCTTTATTTTATTTCGGCGCTAGAGGGCTCTTCGAGCTTAATCTGCCGCCACTGCCCAAATCCACCAAAAATTCACCCAGCTCAGAGGAAGGCCCTGGTAAAACTTCCCGACAGCGGAGGAGAACAGCAATCCCTCCGCAGCTCCAGGGTGGTACTGCCGGGTCCAGAGCGAGGGTTTCCATGGCCTCATGGCCCTCCGCTCCAAGAGGACGGAAGCCTCTCGGAAAGCCGGGGGCGACGTCAGGGCTGAAAAGTCCTCCATTTGCTCCGGAGTTCAACCCCGAGCCGCGGGACTCAACGAACCTACCTCTTTTCAAGCCGGCTCAGCCTCTTTCCGGAACCCCGGCGCCCACCGCGAATCTTCTACGAAGCGAACTGGACTACATTTCCCAGAGTGCTTTGAGCCTCTCCCCGGCAGAACCTCGTTTTCGCGTGCTTTTCTCAGAGACTCTACGGTTCACGCTACTCCTCGCGCCACGACGCTTCCGGTACTACCACTCCCATCATGCTCCACGCCTCCCGCGACGCTGCGTCGGCCCTCGGCCCACTTCCGATCCGTGACGTACTTCCACTTTGCTGGGCGCGCGGTGGACGGTCTGAAACGTAGAGCTCGGCTTTTGCTGTCGTTCCGCGGCTTGGGAGCTCAGCATGGCTACCTCACGAGCTTCCTCCACGGTACGGATCTCAGCTCACTCTGGCGAGGAACACGGAGCGGCTTGGGGGCGGGAGGAGCGGTTCCTGTGAGATGGGGCTGCTTGGGAACGGGCTAAGGTGGTGGAGGACTGAGGTGAAAGGCTGCGAGACTTGGCCCTTAGAGGAGCAGCGTTTTCCTGATCACTAAGTGCGTTTCGGTGTTTTAGTTCATTTGCACCTCTCACTACAGCCCCGAACTGTAAACACCTCTTCCAGCTGGTCCAAAAACGGAGCTCTGGAAGGGAGTAGTGTCTCGGCTCAAGTTTATGTGTACGTCACATTTCTTAATTATAGTAAGGCTTCCTAACTTCATATATATTGCCTTACGGTCCTTGATATTACCCCTGTGATGAGCTGTAGCCTTGGAAGTTTCATAAAACCCAAGAGGAGATTGCAACGGAATGATGTAACTGTGTTCCAAAGCAAGTCTGTGATAGAAAAATTACCAAGAGTAATTCACTAGTTTTATTAACTTCTTCCTATCTGCAAAGCCTAAGTAATTGACAGACACCCCCATCCCTGCTGCCCCCAGTCATGAAGATATCTTAACCGCCGACCAACTTGTTCTTTCCTTTGAGGAGCTCCATCCTTCAGCGGAGCCTAATAAATGACTGAGATTAAGGCTCAGGTTAATCCATGTCTTTGATTTATCAGGCAACCAAAACTAAGGCACCTGATGACTTAGTTGCTCCTGTTGTGAAGAAACCACACATCTATTATGGAAGTTTGGAAGAGAAGGAGAGGGAGCGTCTGGCCAAAGGAGAGTCTGGGATTTTGGGAAAAGAGGGACTTAAAGCTGGAATTGAAGCAGGGAATATTAACATAACCTCTGGTAAGATGCAAATTGTGAGTCTCTCTTTATCTTTGTATCATAGTCAGAAATTTCAGTTAGACCTGGATCTGTGTAAGGCCATCCTTTGCCTACCCTGGTTAGCATCATCCAAAGAGCCTGTCTCTTAAGACCTTTTATACGGTTTTTCTTCCACTGAGTCATTAGTAATCTTAGCAGGAATTTATTCAGTGTATATTTGGATTCAAATTGATCCCATTTATCTTGTGAAGATCTAGTATAGTTTTGGCATTGGTTTGGAGCAACTATGGTTTGTAACATTTTTTTCCTTTTTAGTTTCCCAATTTTTAAGTGAAAGATCTGTTTTAAATCATAAAAGTAATATTTTTTTAACTTTTTAAAAAAATTTATTTGACAGAGAGAGAGACATCACAAGTAGGCAGAGAGGCAGGCAGAGGGGGAGAGGGAAGCAGGCTCCCCATAGAGTGGAGAGTCTGATGTGGGGCTCGATCCCAGGATACTGAGATCATGACCTGAGCTGAAGGCAGAGGCTTAACCCACTGAGCCACCCAGGCACCCCAAAAGTAATATTTTTATTTTGAAAGAAATCAAAGTGTTAGGGTGCCTGGGTGGCTCAGTCAGTTAAGTTGTCTGTCTTTGTCTCAGGTCATGATCTTGGGGCCCTGGGATCAAGCCCCACATTTGGCTCCGCTCAGCTGGAGTCTGCTTCTCTCTCTCACTCCTGTGCACACGCCTCCTCTCTCTTGCTCTCTCTCAAATAGATAAGTAAATCTTAAAAAATCAAAGTGTAGAAATGTGTAAAGTAGAAAGTCCTGTAAATTTTATTGGCTCTATATCTTTCTGATAACTTAATAAAGCTGTAAAAAATTACAGTTTTTTTCACAAATGGAACATATACGAGTTGCTTTGTAACTTAAGTTTTTCAGTGATACACTGTTGAGGTTAGCTTTCCATGTCAATAACTAATGGTCCTCTATATCTTTATTTATTGAGAGTGCATGAGCATCCCAAGCAAGCTTCACGCTCACCTGGGAGCCCAATGTGAGGCTCGATCTTATGACCTGAGATCTCTCTAAAGTTGTAACTGTTTGTCATAAGAAATTCACAAATAGTACAGAGAGTGGAAAATGAATAGACTTCTCTACAGAAAGGACTTCTCTTAGTTTCTCATTGATCCTCCCACACATTTTCTTTTTTATATAGATGCACTTTAATGACTTTTAACTCTTTGGACTGTTTTAGGCTGTATCACCACTGTAATTCTCACTTTTTCATCAAAATCCTTGTATTCAGGGGTGCTTGGATGGCTCAGTCCGTTAAGCATCTGATTCTTGATCTCAGCTCAGGTCTTGATCTCAGATCAGATCTTTATCTCAGGGTTGTGAGTTCACCCTCACGTTTGGCTCCTCACTGGGTGTGGAGCCTACTTAAAAAAAAAAAAAAACCAACCATGTATTCAGTATGGGTTTTAAAACTAACTGCTAGATTGTTCAAAAAGCCTGTAGTCAAGACATGGATGGAACTGGAGAGAATTATGCTAATTGAAATAAGTCAAGCAGAGAAAGAAAATTATTATATGGTTTCACTCATATGTGAAACATAAGGAATAGCCTGGAGGACCACAGGGGAAGGGAGGGAAAACTGAATGGGAAGAAATCAGAGGGGGAGACAAACCGAGAGACTCTGGGAAATAAACTGAGAGTTATAGAAGGAAGGGGGACAGGGGACGAGGTAACCAGGTGATGGGTATTAAAGAGAGCAGGTGTTGTGATGAGCACTGGATGTTATCCGCAACTAATGAATCATTGAACACTACACCAAAAACTAATAATATACTATATGTTGGCTAACTGAACATAATAAAAAAAAAAAAAGCTTATAGTAAAGGGATAGCATTTTCATGGTAGTCTATTAGTTATATTTGTAGATGTCCCCAGATTGGGACTTCTTTAGAGAATAGCTTTGGCAAGTGTTAAAATAATATGTCTATTTTATCTTCTGGGTAGAAGGTCTAGTTAATTCATTTGCTGAAGGTGCTTCGTACTCCTACTTTCTCATCTTAGTTATGTGTGTATATAGGTGTAAGCTTGTCAAAATAAGATGATACGAGGGCGCCTGCATGGCTCAGTCAGTTAAGCATCTGACTCTTGATTTTGGCTCAGATCATGATCTCGGGGTCATGGGATCTGAGCCCTGTATTGGCTCTCTGCTCAGTGGGGAGTCTGCTTTTCCCTCTCTCTCTGCTCTTCCCCACACTTGTGCGCATGCTTTCTCAAATAAAATCTTTTTCTTTTTTAAGATTTAATTTATTTATTTTACGGAGACACAGCGAGAGAGAGACACAAGCAGGGGGTGTGGGAGAGGGAGAGGCAGGCCTCCCGCCAAGCAGGGAGCCCAATGTGGGGCTCGATCCCAGGACCCTGGGATCATGACCTGAGCCGAAGGCAGACCCTTAACAACTGAGCCACCCAGGCGCCCCTCAAATAAATAAAATCTTTAAAATTAAAAAAACAAAAACAACAACAACAACAAAAAAAAACATGATTTGAGCCGTTTTCCTGCCTTTTAAAGCTATGTCATTTAGTTTTTTGTGTTTGGCACAATTTAATAACCTGAGAATCAGTAAACTATGGAGTATATAATCGACTAGTTCTTAGAGGATATACAGACTGCAATTGTAAGAAATTATTTTTCCCCCTTTTGAAGAAGATCTCGTGATTATGCTGATATTGCCTGTTCTTTTTATAGGAGAGGTGTTTGAAATTGAAGAGCACATCAGTGAACGACAGGCCGAAGTGTTAGCCGAGTTTGAGAGAAGAAAGCGAGCCCGGCAAATCAATGTTTCCACTGATGACTCAGAGGTTAAGGCTTGCCTTAGGGCCTTGGGGGAGCCCATCACGCTTTTTGGAGAGGGTCCTGCTGAAAGAAGAGAAAGGTGCCCTTTCTAAATTTATGCTCTCTCTTTTAATCACAAGGTTCTATTTTCAAATTTTAGTTGATACATGTAGCTAAAACTTTAATAGAATATCTCAAATAATGTTAATACAATATTTTACTAAGTTGTTTCATATAGTTTAGCTTATAATCTGAGTAAGCCAATTTTTTATTCTACTAATTTTTCTTTATAAACTGTGAATAAGATGTTAACATGCAAACCCTCCCCCCAATATGGAATTGTGAGTTGAGTAAATATTTGTTGTTGAACTTTGAAAATACAGACAACACACACGTTCCTCTTGTCAGCGTGGTAGAACATAACGATAAGTATTTGGGGGTGGTTTTTGAAAAGGGACACTTTCCTCAGATGATACTCTTGTGATTTTATGGTTTTGGAGTCTCTTAGTGACAGGCTAGTCATCTGCATGATAATGACCTCCTTTGTCTCTCTGTCCACTGTCCCATCTCTCCCTTTCATCATTTTTTTCTTTATTTGTGTAGCCTGCACATTTAATCACTGTAAAACATCTACTGTATCTCATGTCCATTAAATAGAACCAGTAATGCTGGGCTTGTTTAAATTACAAGGAAAAAAAAAAAAGTATCAACCCAGTATCTTACAAACCCAGCCTGGCTGGCCACAAGGGTGGGGAGGATAGGGGAGGAGGAGGCTCCCCTGGGCAAGTGGCCGGGTGGCAGAAAGAGCTAAAGGACAGAAAGAAAAGGGGACTCCCAGATGGGAGGGGACTGGTTGTTCTAAGGGGAGGGGTGCAAAAGGTACTCCAGAAGAGTGGAACATGGGGAGTGGACAGGTCAGTGCTTTCTCCACCAGTGCCCAGTGTTGGAGGAGGCGCTGTGTGCCACCATCTGCCTACCACTGGCATTTGGAGAACAGTGACCCATGAGCCCTGGACATGACGACCCCCTCCGATTCATGGATGACAGTCTGCCCCTGCCGCCATGGTCTCCTTTTCCTTGAGGCTCATCTACTTCTCAGTGCATTGACTCTCTTCGGGCCTTTTCTCTCATTTACTCTTCGGCC